CCCCCCCCAATAAAGACGGACGGATGAGCGAACCACATGGATGAATGAAGTGGATGAATGCTGGAATATGGAGAGCACTCCTCCAGAAAGATGTGTGGATGCGTAAGAATAACTGAAGCAGGGGAACATGCTATTTACAATTGGGAACAAATTGTTCCCACAATGGGATGGAACATGAAACCACATATTTTCATGTGTTTTTTTTCTTTAACCATCTGGAACTATATGGACTATTCGGTAGCTTTTCAATGTTGGCCACTGGGATGAATAAATTTGTCTGTGTCAACTGTAGTGAGGAAATTGATACACATTGGATTGTTAAAATTGTGATTGCTTTCTTCATTACTACTTTTGTACTTTTTTTACATTTCTGCTGATATTCAGTTTTTTATTTTATGTCGTAGGTTTCTGTAAGAATGTTACTTTGATTTATTTTTTACTTTATTTTTTCCCTCTTATTTTGAAGAAAGTAAAGCTGCAATATTGGTGTCCATTGCTGTCATTGAATGATTGTTCACCTGTCAAATTGTGGATGTAAGGTTAAATTATTGAAAGTTATTTGGACATTGATGGTAGAGACTCAAACCTATGCACTCAAACCTATACACATTCAAACACACAAATATATATATATATATATATATATGATTGATGATAATAACAATTAACAAGTTAAACACCAACTTTGTACAATGTAACAAAATGTTATGTATGTATATATACACAGGGACCTGTTCAAGCCACACCCCATCTTTATTAAAACCACACCCCCCTTCCCACCTCATGATTCATTTTTGTACAAGTGTTGTGTCCATCTCATTCATTGGATATAATTAAAGACTATTCAGATGTGCTGAAATAAATCTTGTACACACATAAGTCTTTTTCAGTTAATCCTGAAAAATGTACATTCTTTCTATTTGATTTTATTTACATTCTATTTATAGAATCAACATGAAATAATAAAGAAGCATGTCAATAAATATGTACACAAGAATAGAAACTATTTGATTTTAGATATCTTTTATTAGCATATTTATAATTTTTAAACTTTGGCTAATATATAAAATATTATTGAGCAAGTTTCTATATTTAGTATATACAATCAAAACATAAATATTGTTCATTCAGTATATGACCTTTGTTATCATAATAACAAAACAAATATATATATATATATATATATATGTACTTGATAAAATGACAATTTTATTGTATAACAGTTAATTTGTTTCAGTTTTTAATAATTAGTTTGAGATTTTGGCTATCTAATTCAAAATAAATTTCAATAAATTTGAAAATGTGTAATACATACTCAAAATTGATTTTGCATTTTAGCTTTACTTTCCTTACAAGAATAAAGTTTGTAAATGAATTTTGCTAAATTCTTTCAAATTCATTAGTTTTCATGAATCAAGAATTAATTTACTTTCTAAATGGTTCTTCCAATCTCAAAGTTTAAGAATAGATTAAAAAATATAGCCAATTAGCATATTTCTAAAGCACACACCAATTGTTTAAAAAACTATGCGGTAGATATACAATAAAAAATAAAAATAAAATTAAAATTAAAAATTTGATGTAAAATAATGATATGTTTGAAACTTGATGCATATTTAAATTTGACAAATAAGAGATTTAGTTTCAGAAAGGTAGATGAGTTTTATGCAACACCTTCTTTGCATATCACAAAAATTATTTATCAGAAAACATGATTTGTAAATATCTGAATAAGTTTACGTGTAAATTCAAAGAATATTTTAGGGCATCAGAATGCTTTTACCTATTCACAGAATTATATGTATATATATATATATATATATATAGAGAGAGAGAGTGGCTTGATTGTCAAAAGTTAAAATTATAATGGTAGAAATAAAGTCATTCAATTTTTTTTGACATAATTCGATGATTCATAATGTCCAAATCAGTTACATACGTATATATATGCATATATAAAATAATATATAATATTTTACAAATAATGATAGAATGACAATATTATTACTATATATTTTTGGAATATATATATATATATATATATATATATATATATTTGGCCAAATACATTAATGGGCCAAATAAATATATATTATTTCGAAGTAATTATAGAGTGAAAATATTGTAATTAGTTTTTTTGGAAAAAGCTTTCTAAGATCAAACTAGATATTGATTTCTTAATTATGTAATTGCCAAATTGCAACTGTAACATAATATAAGTGAAATACTGTTCTTTGCCAGTTCGTTTTACATTTCAAAAATTTAATGGATTAAAAAATACTTGTGTTGTAGGAAAGTAATAAAAAATTGAACATATTTAATTGTTATTTTAAAACAACGCTTACATAAATCCTTCAATTCAAATTTTAAATTTTAAATATGATATTTATCTTTATTAATAAGCATGTATTACTATCACTTTCATAAGGTATGAATGCTTTATGATTAAAAAGCTAGAAAATCAGAAAACAGTGATTAATCAATTATTTGATGATTTAGTTTATTTATTTGAATATTTATATTGAATTGGAAAAGGAAAATGTCTACCAAATACTCATCATTATACATTATGATGAATTACTCAAGTTATTTTCAGACATTTTATTGTTTTTTTCATAGAATTAATACAGATACTGATCATTACAAAAAAAAAAAAAAAAAAAAAAAAAAAAAAAAACTTAAACTTAAACAGTTTAAGACATGTTGTGTTCAAAACAATCATTCTGTCTTGTATTTTGATTAAGTTTGTGATTATCACTGTATATCTCTTTTAGAAATATATCAATATTCTATTTCAAAATATAAAATAAAATTATGATGTTGAATAGTATATTAATACATCAGATACAGAAACAATGTTTAAAAATTAGAGGTCAAAGATAAATGTACACGCAAGTTTGTGGCATTTATCCACGTGCATTTTAATTTTTTACTTATGTTTTGTTAACTCTCCTCTTTTTTAACTTCTTTTTTGAATTACTTATTAATTTATTTGTGAAAACATAACAATGAAATGAATATGTTTGATATTGTCCTATTGAAAATCCAATTTGTAGAATATGTAGTTCACATCTACATGCAAGGGACACAATTTTGTTGTCTTTCTTTCAATCTAATATGAGAATAAATCATTAAAATGCCCCTATGGAATTGAAAGCCACCATATGCTTTTATGCTTTGCTACATTCCAAGACAATAAAATTCACATTTACTTGAGACTTATTTTTCAAGTTGCTTTACTTACAAACTGTGGGTAATAAAGTGTAAAGTGAATTTAACCAATTTAATTCTTGTTAAATTAAAATTCTGATGCAAAAGTTGACCACAGGCCCTCACTGTATGTGTACTATTTGATAGTTGGATTTGCTTTAAAGGTCTTGACAAAAGGCCTTTGGTGTATTTACAATTGTGTTTCTTTAGCAGTTGTTGTTGTTGTTGTTGAGGTGATGTACTGATGCATACTATTAGTTCATAACTTTCTTGTTAGAAGTGCTTGTTTGTTAATACATTTATTTGCTTATTCAATATTAGTGTTTTTTACTTCTTCAGATTTGAAACCTTGAAATGTAATATTTTACTCTATTTTATTTAATTTATTTGAAGTGTGAATTCCCTATTACTCACGTAGATATCTGCAAAGTTCAATGGAAATTATAGTTTGTACAATAGCATCAAAGGATCCAAACCATGTTTATGGGTTCTATGGATTCTTAGACTCCAGAGGTGCAGTTTTGACATTTTATATGAATGGTATATTAATGGCTAAATGTAGTGTGATTTTGCAAATTTGGTGACGGATTAATAACATCCAAGAAGATATCACAATCACTAAAGATACTAACTATATGTATTAGTTTAGGATTTTTTTGAAGCTTGAAGTTTTCACCATTCAACATCACCTTGAATTTTTTTTTGATCTAATTGGTTTAGGACAACCAATCTCGAACATTTCTAATCCTTCTCACATAAATCAATGTGTGTATGTGTATGTATACATGTACAATATTGTGAGCAAAATGGATATTTTTTATTTCAATACAAATATTATAATCTCTTTCCCATATATTTTACTATAAATATTAAAATAATAATATTAAAAGGCGCCTGATTTAAAAAATTATAAAGAATTTTTGAGCCACTTGATAATCAGATTCGTTTTTTTGTTTTTTTTTGTTTGTAGGATTAAAATTCTCACGAAAGGTCGACTTTAAGCTTGAGCAATGAAATAATCTTGGTGTTCTAAATTTAGAAAACTACACCAGTCAACATGACAACTTGTTCTCATATTTTTATTTCTTTTGCAATGAATATCTGTGTGATCTTTATTTTATACTGATTTTGTGAATATGAAAAAATATGCAAAACAAAGGTAGAGGAATAAAGATTTATATCCTATTTTACTATTTATTATCTATTTACAAAATACAATAATACATATTTTTATTTAGCACCTAACATTACTTATGAAGTTCTATTTAAACAATTTTCAAATATCCAAAACAAAATTTTTCTTATTTTATTTTTACAAGACATATATTGTTCTTATGTACTTATTTTACATTCAACTATGCTTGTTAAAGTACTACAATCACAAAAAAGTAATTTAATTCATTTTTACAAGATATTTCAATGCTCTTCAACAAACAACGTAACAATCAATTGCAATGAATTTCCACATCCATATTTTATTTTATTTTATGTTTAATTTACTACATCCAATTTCATTTAATTCATATCAACACAATCACATAACACCCCATCACTATTCATCATCTTATTCTTCATCTTAAAAGAATCCACAACATTCAACTTCAACTACTAAAGTATGACCATTACTCTTGATGTAAGAAAAGAAACAAAAAAAAAAAAAAAAAAAAAAAAACACACACACACACACAAAACAAAAATAAAAGTAAAATAATCTCTTTCTCTCTATCTTTTTATCTTATATATACATATACATATATACATATATATACATACATGTAGACACCGGCTAAGAGTCAACAGAACCCCTAATCTGGCAATAAGGCAAAAGGAAGGAAAAGAATAGGGAAAAGTTTGCCGCCCCCCTCCCGCCCCGAACCATCCATCCTTGTTGCAAACCCAGCTCGGCGATGGCACTGGTGCACTTCTGTTCTGTTTCCTTCTGTTTGGTTCTGTTCATGGGGCGTCGCGGCCTCACATCGAGTCTCATCCTGCTTCTGCTGCATCCAACCACTGCGCATTACCGAGTAGTACAGTTTGTATAATCACCCAATTTGTGGTTATTATCGCAGATATTTGTGGGAACACTACCCAACTGCTTTGCTCTGCTCGGGGGAGCCACCCCATTGCGGTGCCGACCTTCACCGGCCTAAATGGCCGCCCCCCTGCTCCACTACAGCCTCCTCCACTGACATTGCCGTGCGCGTGGCACCCTGATTTGGTGTCTGATTGCAGCGAGCGATCAGGGCCTCACGTCTCCATTCGTGAACACCAAAGGATTCTTCCTCATACCGAGGTGAGCTTGTATGTGTGAATTATATGAATGACGAAGGCTGAGGAGGGGTTGAGCCTCGATGAGCTTATTTATGTAGACTGTTGCGGCGATTCACTCGATTCTTGTTTTTTTTTTTTTTTTTTTTTTTTTTTTTGTGGAAGTGCCCTGGTGCTCGCAAATCACCTGGATCTGACCGATCTCTGAGTGGAACTTTTCGCTGGGGTTACTGTGTTCTTTTGTCCTGCAGTGGCGCAGCAGCTCTAAAGAAGAGTGGGTTTGAACTGTCGGGACGGCGAGGGTTTGTCTTGGGTGTTTCCGGAAGAGAAATTGGGCGTGGGAGTAACACGGACCTGTTGAACGCGTCATATTGGAAATCTCAGGTTTTGTTTCGTGTTGGGGATGGTTTGCACCTTATTTCGTCATGTGCGCTGTAGTCATCAGCACCTGGAGCGCACATTCGTCTTGAGGATTGGGTTTTGGTTGCATCACTTGCTGTGACTCGACAGCCACCAGTGAATTTCCACACATCGTAGTATGCTTGTACAGTTGGTATGGTCAACAGGATCAGAGTTCGTCTGCTGTCGGACCTACTAAGAATCATTCTCATTCTAGTCCGGATATTCCGTGAATGCGTTTGGTTTTGTCGCTGCATATTACGTGGTTCCACCCCTGAAACGGGTCTAGAATCGTAAGCGTCACAAAGACCCAACTGCCTTCGACCTCACAGATTCCATTTCTCCCAATATAGACACGTTCATGATTGCACAGACAATACCCATTTCAATCTTACAATGTTTTTTACCAGTGAAGATGAGGGCAGTACACAAGTCGCCTCGTGGACGAGCTCTGTGCAAAACCGCAGTACTCACTCACTCACGATGCAAAGACTTTGTCGAAGCTCTGACTGTGTCAGAAAGTATAAATTCCCACACTTGTCCAAATGCGATCGCGCCACTTGGATGCACAGTGAACCACTCACGCCACCAAATCCCACGTCGGCTGACTCTGAACACAAATCTGTTCACTGGCTTCCGCTTGCCGCACAATGTCATCTTCAGGAGAGATTGTGGTGTGGCCTTGCTATCCCCAGTCCCCTGAACCCTATTACTCCAAAACAAGAAACCCCAAACTGGAGAATCCCATCTAAAGCTGGCTTTACAGCTCTGCGACGTGTGGGTACTGGATTTCGTACCGCATGGAGACGTCCATCACCGGGATTTTGCGATGGGAACCACGTCGACGACGATTTGGCGCTGCTCGAATTCACCGTCGGTGGGACTGCGATGCCTTCGATACGAAACCCTAAAAATGGTCGTTTTGAAAACTCTGTCTCGGTCATTCAACTCCTTCTTGGTTTACTAATTTACGTGATTGATTTGTAAATTGATAGCACTTTTCGTGTCTTCCTTGTCTACTGGTTTCGCACTTAGAAATAAGAACTTGCTCTTGTGTGTGTTGCTTTGGGATTGTCACAAAGCAAGCGTCTAAAAGAAGGAAAAGTCGTGATTGTGCTTATAAAGCTTTTTCAAAAATTTAGTGGCCACATCATTTTTATAAAACTGGAGAAACAAAACGAGCTTTTGTGTTTGACGGAATGTTTGGAAATGAATTGCAGGAGTTTGAGTTCTCAACAAAAAATTAATGAATAAATAAATCTTGTAAGCAACCTGTGATGTTGTATGAAATGTAAATAAAATGTGAATGTGAGCAATTTTTTATTTTTTATTTTTTTAATAATTGAAACTAAAAATCAGTTCTTATGAAACATTGTTTTTAAAACATAAATGTTCACACGCTTTATGCTCTTTGATACTAATTCTAAATCTTTTTTATTTTTTTCAAATAAGAGGAACACTACGAATAAACTTGAAATGTTTCAAGATTAATCTAGTTCGTGTATATATGAGAAAATAATATATTTTTTTATTAAAATTTCACAATATTATTGTATTATCATAATGTGTCTAAGATTACTACAAAAAGAAAAAAAGAAAAAAGAACAAAAGAATGAAGTTGTGTTGAAAACATGTAGCTTAATTTGACTTTTAAAATGTGATCAGTGAATAAATCATCTAAAAAGGATATGATAAATCGAAGTGCAGTATATGCTATTTAGTTGCTGAAGATATTTGATTGTTTCTTGGCACAATGTTAGATGATTTTTTCAAGATAATCTTCATTTTTTATATTCAATAAAAGTTTTGTTTTATTTTTTTTTATAATTTTTTGTAAATTCATCAGACGTCAAAAAGTTTATAGAAGGTATTTGAAATGCAGTAAGAAAATGTACAGTTCTCGTTCATGTTTTATATGAATATAAAAATAAATCTGCTTATTACGAGTTCTATGAAATTATTTCGCATTAATATCAAATATAAAAAAATCAAAAATCACAACTCACACCTCTAAAATTAATAAATACTTTTACTTTGTTATGTTAATATATGAATTATTCTCCGTTTTTTAAAAAAGAATGGTATCAAAATAACTTTTTAAAATTTATTTTTGAAAATAACAATATAAGGAATGTCCTGTGAATTTCTGATAGAAGTTTTCTTATAAATTCTATAAAATATTTATTTCTTAAATTTTTGATTGGAAATAAGGAATAGATTCAAAATTGATGTTTTCCCATTGAGGATGAAAAATTTAATTTATATATATTTAAAAATATCAATATTATACAAATCATCAATTTAATTATTATCATGTTTATTGTTTATTGAAATGTCTACATCAACATTCTAAGTAAATTAATATCATAATCTTTTTCTGAGACACTTAATGTTTATCCAATTTTTAAGAAGAATAATTATACACTTTGTGATTGATTTCATAATTTTTTTAATATTCATTTTATTGTTTACAGACCTAATATGTTAAAAATTATTTAAAGTGGAAAACGGAGAAGATATTAATCATCATATTTAATTTTTCAAATACAATTGATTTAGTTTCTAAAAGGATCTATATTTAAGTATATTTTATTTTATTTATTTGATACTCAACACCTAAAAATTAATTCTGAAAACAACAAAAGAATTTACACAACATTATATCAGAAGAACAGTTTTTACTGATGTTGTGGGTGTCAGAAGAGCATAGAGAAATTATTTTTCCTTTGAAGCAATTAATACACAGATTTGATAATTTTTAAACATGATATAAACTTAAGTTTTTCACAATATTTCATGTTTAAAAATTATATAATGTTATATATAATGTTAAGAATTATACAATGTTTCATGAAATATATTGTTACCTGTATTCTAAAGCTTTACTGTTATATCCTTTCATAATTTTATCAAGTTCTATACAATGCAACTTTTAAAAACTATCATTAATTTTTTGTTCTAACAGTAAAAATTACAAGCTTTCTAAAGTAGATGTACATAAAAATAGAATAAAAAGATGAAATTTTATGTTAGATTAAATTCTAAAAATAAAGATGCTTTAAGATTTTACTTGAATTGAAAATAACATAAATATTCAACTTTATCTTCAAGGAATAAATTCTGTGTTCTTAAAGAGCCAATTATGATGGTTGTTACCATTTAGATCTAGTTTTGAATCAATAAATCATTTAAAAAAAATGAAAAATACACTTAATTATAATATTCTTTATTTTTAGAATATTCATAAATTATATATATATATATATATATATATATATATGTATTTTTAATAATTTATTTTTTTATAAACTTTAATAAAAAACTTGAACATGTAGTACTTCAATTTCTAATCTTTGTCAAAATGTCCTCAATATATTTATATATATTATATTATATAAATATATGTGTGTACACATTATATTACATAAATGTATATACATACATATTATATTACATACATGTGTATGCATACATATTATATTACATACATGTGTATGCATACATATTATATTACATACATGTGTATGCATACATATTATATTACATACATGTGTATGCATATATATTATATTACATACACGTGTATGCATACATATTATATTACATACATGTGTATGCATACATATTATATTACATACATGTGTATGCATATATATTATATTACATACATGTGTATGCATACATATTATATTACATACATGTGTATGCATACATATTATATTAGATACATGTGTATGCATACATATTATATTACATACATGTGTATGCATACATATTATATTACATACATGTATATGCATACATATTATATTACATACATGTATATGCATACATATTATATTACATACATGTGTATTCATACATATTATATTACATACATGTGTATGAAGTCACTCTTTTACTACTCAAAAAGACTAAATAATTATTTAAAGATGATATAATAATAAACTAGAATGGCTACTATCTAAGACAAGAAGATAAGAAAGTTTTGAAACAAGACTAAAGACTAGAAAGATATTGATAAGAATAAAGAAGGCTTCACTCTTACCTCCATATAAACTCTTTAAGTAAGAGTTACGTGGCGATATTCTATAGAATCTCCAAATGATGTTGACTTGGTTAGATACATGATTTAACTTACAAAGCAAATTAATTATATGTGTGCCACATAATTAGCTTATTCTTCAAGCTACTAACATAAGTGACATGTGGCTAATTTGTTGACTAAGTTTTTAGCCTACTAATTATTTACAAATACGTATAAAATCAAAGCAATGTATATGAAGTTTTTAGAAAACTTTTTTAAAAATTATTATGAAATTAATCTACTTTTAATTACTTTTACTTAATCATATAGGTAATTAATGGAATAAATATGTATGTTTGTGATATTACATCCCTTCTAAGGACATGTTCTACAAGTAGTAATTATTATCTTTCATGGATCTTGCTATTTTTTATTTTGATTTTGATGGATATCAATGATGAAAAGCTTCAACCCTCTTTACAGCATTTGTAAGATTATTTGCTGACTTCCACGTGCATTCACTAATATCATAACTATATTGATAAACAAGATATTTTAATCTATTTTGGTACTACCTTGAATCTAAAATCTTTTTTATTTTAAATTCTTAATTATTATCTATTTCTATAGGAAGAGGTGGCATTTGTCTTCTTTACAAGATATTCTTTGTTTTATGTGGTTCAAGAAGAGAAATGTAGTATACAAGATGGATCTTTATAGACTTTGATATACGTAATTAATAAGTAATAAGATTGACCTGTTCACTAATAAAAAAATATCCAAGCCTACAATAGTACAACTTGTCACAATAATAAGTAGTCTTGATATTGCAATAAAATAACCATATCTCGTCACTTACATTGAATTGTGGTTGTTTTTTATAATAAACATCGACTTTGATCTTTTATTGTTCTTAAGCTTCTTTTAATTATATCTTTATTATTATATGTAGTTTTGAAAAATAATTTGTTAAATCCTTTGTCAAAGATTATTAACTTTTAAAAAGTCAAAAGTATCAAATTATTGATGATAATCATAATTGGTAAAAAAAAAGGTATTTTTTGAGTAGAAAAATATATCAAATTATTATATACTAATTTTATCAATAGTAAAAGAATTATATAATTATCTTAATGATAGTTGATGGTATATTTTAAATAATTCTCTAAAATTTGATTCATCTATTTCATTTATCCATTAGTTTGAGGATAAAAAACTGAAGAGAGTTTTATATCCCTCTTTAAAATCTTACAAAGAATTTTTTAAAATCTTAATACAAATTGAGTTTCTCATCTAATATAATATCTTTAGGCAATCTTTGAGAGCAATAGATATTATTAAGACAAAACTTAGCCATTTTTTCACTTGTGATAGATTTTGTACATGGTACAAAATAAGACATGTTAGTAAAATGATCTACTATCATAAATATAGTATCATACAAACTTGAGATTAAAAGATCCATGATTTTATTACTCAAAGATAAAAATGCTCTAACTTTAAAAGAATTAGTTTTTATTGATTAAAAGATGCATCTTTTTTTTTTTTTATGCAAGGTACAAACATTAAAAGAGAGCATTTAATAAACCTTGATTTTTGGATTGATAAGTGATTTTAAAATAAAATCTTAATTTAAACATATTCTAATAGGTTTGATAATAATTTAAAATACATATTATTATGTAGTATTCAAGATTCTTATGATTCATTATTATATTATGTGAATTCTTGCTTGAGAATGCACGAGACACATGACTGTAGAAAATAAAGTTGTATTTTATAAATACCCAAGAAACTTAATAAGTTACAACTATCTAAATACAAAGTAATTCGAATTTCAACTTAAAAGTACTTAAAGCTAATATAAAGTGCTCAAAACTTTCTTCTCAATAACTTCAATCATATACAAATTCCAATTACCTTATTACTTTCATAATTAGATAATTTCAATTTTTTCTTGCATGTCCTAATCCTAATTAGAGAGTTTTAGCAAGCTATTATTTCTAATCTAATTATCCACTTAATATAAAATTTTATATAAAAATGCCACTATAAGTCTTTTATATGCTCAAAAAAAAAAAAATCAGTCCAATCCAACTTATAGATTGTGAAAAAAAGTCCAAAAATCACACTAATGTCACTTGGCTACCAACTTGAAAGTTGGTGCAGATGTTCTAATAGCAATTTTTCCTTCATAATCACTAATTTCAATTCAAATAATTATATAGTTTTATCTTGAAGTCTTTTATTACCATGCCAAATTTCATCTTCATCCAATTTGTAGATCTTTAGATATCATAGAA